CCCGTGGGCTCCTCCCGCAAGTACCAGTCACTGGGGCTAAAGCAGACACTTTACTGAATGGTGTGATGACAATGCTCCAGTACTGTCGAAATTTGATCGCGCCAATCTCGTGGTAAAATAATACCAAATTCCTCAATGTCTCGTGGTCGGTCAAGGTCGGTCGGTCGGCATCCATCATTGCGCCAATGACTTCTTCACTTGTTCCACAATGGAACGTGCACCTTAAGTCCAAAATCCGTGCAAGGGCCTATCCAAGGAAGGGAAACAGAACCGTCGCACCCAGTACAGAGAAAAACAGGCCCCCTTAGCCCTCGCCCTATCACAGAATCTCAAAGAGCCTCCCTAAGAGTTTTTCGAAATAAGTTTCAATGGTTTTATATACGGTGCTCAAATTTTTGGCAGCGTTTGGAGCTTTAATCACGTCTTACCATATTGTTAAAGTTTTAAGAGCCACCATGCAGGTTTATTTCCAAAACTTAAATCCAAAGACATGGAGACATCGATGACGATATGTCAGTGATTTTCTGAGGAGCTCAAGGAGGCATCAGGTCTTCCGGACGATCTCTGGTTCACTAATGAAGCACATGTTTTGTTTAATGGTCATGCTGATTTAAATATTAATGTATGTCGGGTCGTATGACAGCGACCTCTGCACTCGGTGAAATATTCCGCATGATGATATTTATGACTATGCATACACCTATTGGAGAAATCCAATTCAAGAAAGATGACAGTTACACAGCTAAAGTTAGTACCCAGTGGTGCATCAAAGTCGTTAGAAATTCTGGTGGTATCCGGGAACAGCGCACGCGCAGACACGCCTGTGAGCGGTTTCAACAAGACGGCAACACACTTTATGGTTCACACGAGTCATTGCAGTAGTTGCAGGATCACTTCAGTGGCGATGCGATCCGTCTCCGACTCGACATGAAACGAGCAGCTCATCGGCCAACCTACTTTACACTAGGTCATTTGGGTCCAATTTGGTTGTATGCATTTCGTCGCTGACAGGTCATGTTCAAACCTGTCTACGGCGCCTAGTAATTCCTCCATCGGTTGTGCGATGATCACCCACGTAACGAAACAGTAAAGAACATCCGCACGCAATGTAACGAGCTTTTTAAATGACTTATATTTAAGACCATGTTGAAGAGCTATACGCCATTTCAAACGAAGCTACAAGATGTTGCAATGTATTGGAAAAATCACGATCAAACAAATTTTACGTAGTGAAGAGCGAGGCTGAACAAACGCATTCAAGCTGTACTAGACAGCATACCAGCTGCAGTCACAGTCCAGAGGCGATGGCACAGATGCTCAGATGCTGCATGCAGACAATCATATGTTAAGATCAAGACGATGCTTTTGCATCGAAATATCAGTATCCCTTGCATGTATTTTCATCAGTCAAACAAACATATATATATACATGTATATATATATATATATATATATATATATATATATATATATATTTACAAGAGTTGAACACATAAAAATCACCAACAACGCCAACACCTAGATGCACCGACAACAGCGAAAACTATGGCTAGCGGTGCTTATCCGTTTCACACTTCTCTGACTCAGCACGACTTTGCCCCAAGAAGTTCAATGCAACTGGTCACACGATGTTCTTTAAAATGATGTTGACGGGATGGATCGTAGTAAAGGATTGTTGCAAATACAAGTGCAATGCATACCACCCAAAAGAAAAGTAGTCATGTTTGATCCAGCTTGGTCTCTAATGCACTGGACGTAGTGTGTTTGCAAACGCCGTTACGTCCAGCTGCCGGGATTGAGTAAAACGCTGTAGGAGGGTCGACCGAATACAACTGACACGGTGGCGCGCGAGCAAACGTGTTTTCCCCGGCCGACGTTTTCTGGTCATCACGCCACGGGCAGGCCGGTCGGCTTAAAGGGAGTATTCCACGTTTGTATGAGAATTTGATCTGAGACAACCAGTTTGAAGATTACTGGGTGCGGTTTACAGCCCTGCCGTTCTTAAGATTTGAACCGTCTAGTTTCTGAGCTAGACGCCCCCGAAGTTGTGCAGAATATTTCATGGTCGATAAGCAAGTACATAGTGGCACTCGCCGCGCACGATGAAAGTTATTCTAAATTGGTCACCGTGACTTTTCAAATCGCCAGTACTAGAGGCCCGCCAGCATTGAGTGATGCGTCGGGGGTCGACCAAGTGAAATGGATATCTTAATCTGACAAGCGTGGTGTACTGGAAGCTGATAGACCTGTACCGGCGTTATGGAATGCACACCACCGCACTGTTTCTGAGTGAACATAATTCTGCTCTCCTGGCCGCCACACTCCGGTTATCATGCTAGTGGCAAACCGCCAGCAGTTTTCATTGCGCCTTCAAGGGGTAATTTGCACAACAAGGCCGTGTCGTCCGGGGAGAAACTCACATTGCCGACTGACAGCGCTCCCATGATGACATGTACGCATAGTGGCATGCTTCGCACATATTTCATAATGGTCCCTGGAACTAAGCGAAGCAACACTGCGGGCGTCACGTTACCACTGGATGAAACACCTTCACGAGGTTAACAGAACAAAACTGATTCTATAGTCGTACAAATACTTTGCACTGGCAGCGGATGGTCCTTTAGCAACGCTATTGAATGCACACAGTCGTAGTCTTTACCTGCGATTGTAATCTTTTTCTGGGCCATCATAACTGGCCATCACGCTGCGGGCAGGCTGGGAACTGTTAGTCATCCGCCTTAAATCACGTTCAAAGCAGACGTTTGCGTATATAGCCGAGGTCAACATTGCAGGTTTGTAACGATTGTACATAACGTTGAGGTTCACGTTGTCTTGTGCTGTTGTCAAATTTTCCGATTCAAACTTGGAGTTTGCTTCAAAATGCCTCGTTTGTTTGCTTCAAAAAATTCCGTTTGTCGGTCTGCCCCGTGTTCGCCATGTGAAATGCGCTCCTGCTGCACAAGTGCGCTCTGAATGTGCTCACTAAGCCGATTTCGACGCCATGCTCTGTTTTTCTTACAAACAGCATCCGTTGGCAAAGGCTGCATGGGACCCTACTTGCTAAGGTCTTCCGCATGCATTGTGTCTTCAGTCCATTAACACATATATGACGAATTGTGATTCCAGATGATCGTGCAGGGTTCGCAAAGGTTGATTAACACCTGTTTGGGTGAGAGGTTTAGTTTACTGCCTCGAAGTTTTTTCCGAAATAATTTTCGAAAGGTATAACGTAGTCACACCAACTTTGCCTTCCTGTAGACAAATGACTAGCGAGTATTTTGGCATAACAAAATGAAACATACCTTTAAGATCGTTGACCTATGACAGGTCAAAATCAGGTTGCAGCTGTCGGCGAAGGCATAGTTCTAGGAAATATGATCATAGCATCTAGGAAATAGTTCAGTCTGGTGCATCATCGGAGAGTTTGACGAGGTCATAAATCTCTGAGATGGTTTCTTTAACAATAAGATATTGAAGATAGGAATATAACCATTGACTTTGGGTCTGGTATAAAGGTCAGACCGAGGTCAAAACAAAACAGCGTTTTTGCTCGAGAGCTCCTATATGGGTTAGTTTCTGTTGTTCATTTCAAATTTAGGAATAACAGGGGCTATAGCAGACACATTCCATAGACTTCTGAAAACCCAAAGTAGGTCACTCACTTAAAATGACCCAGGTCAACATTTGTTTTTTCAGGAGCATGTCGCCTAGCGTAATCCTTGACGCTTGCCTTGAACCTTAAATTTGATAAACGTAAGCTCACACATAGGCCATCCCACCCTGTGAATTTGGTGTCTCTAGCTCACTTAATTCTAGATATCAGTGGAGGACCAAAATGCAAAATCAGGGGAGGAAAATTGCCTCCCCCATCCCCACCCCACTAGAGCATGTGGTATTCTCCCGCCACCCGGGCGTGTTTTCTGTTGTAATGGACTTTAAGGTAGAGCAGGTCCACGGTACCCTAGCATCGCGTGAATCGCTCGTTCCAAGCACCGCGTTCACCATCCGTTTGCACAGCGCGCGATAAGCAAGCGACGGGAGCGTCACACCAGCAAATCTGATATTCCTCACCTTCTGATGCATTCTCTGATGCCCTGAGTTTGAGTTGCAGCAAGAACGGGCAGCGCAAGCGGCAGACAGCACCAATTGGGTGTGCCGTATATCCCCCGGTGGAGGGAAGGATAATTAGCTAGACTCCGCTCACTTGAATGGGGATTAGAAGAAACGCACAACGTTCAATGTATTCGTGATGAGACTGCGTTCTTTGTCGCCACACGGTGCGCACCAAATTGCAGTGACGTATGATTGGGGCTTTCATTGGTCTCAAATACTAAAGAGTCTTCGCCTCTTTCTGGTTTGACCACCGATCAATTATCAATAAATGTAACAGGATATTTGTGCAGTGTGTTCGAGGACGTCAAATATTCACATATCATATCTAGTTTTGCCCGACAAGAAACTTCCAATATGTTGAACGTCGTTAATCTTCTAGCATAAAATGACTCGTAATATCACAAGTTTAGTCATATTCACGTTTCCATGTGCTAACACCCGATACACGGCGCACTAGTGCCACATATGGCACTTATAGATGGCTTTATTAGTGAACCAAAGATCGTCCGGAAGATCTGATGCCTCTTTGAGCTTCTCAGAAAATCACTGACATATCGTCATCGATGTCTCCATGTCTTTTGATTCAAGTTTTGGAAACAAACCTGCATGGTGGCTCTTAAAACTTTAACGACATGGTAAGACATGATGAAAGCTCCAAACGCTGCCAAAAATTTGAGCACCGTATATAAAACCGTTGGAAAAGTATTTCGGAAAACTCTTGTGGAGGGCCTTTGAGATTCTCTGATAGGACGAGGGCTACGAGGGCCCGTTTTTCGCTGTGTTGGGTCCGATGATTCTCTTTTCTTTTCTTGGATCCGCCCTCGCGCGGATTTTGGACTTGGTGCACGTTCCACTGTGGAACAAGTATAGAACTCATTGGTGCAATGATGGATGCCGACCGATCGACCGTGACGGACCACGAGACGGTCAGGAATTTCGTCACGGTAAAAGGTGCAGAAATTTCCATTGAAAACATACATAGGCTATTGTGCCGCTAAATGAAGATTTTGACATTATTTCAACATGAGATTGGTGCAATCAAATTTCGACAGCACTGGAGCATTGTCATCACACCATTCAGTAAAGTGTCTGCTTTAGCCCCAGTGACTGGTACTTGCGGGAGGAGCCCACGGGCTTCCTTGAATCGCTGCCTTCCCGCAGCCTTCTGGACAGCGGCACCATTCACGGGCACGTGCGGCGTCCGCTTTGACACACACGTGCTGTGGCTAAGTGTTGGCTGGTTATCGCCAGCAAGTAGTCAGTTTTTGAGCCAAAACAAGATGAAAAAATCGGTACATCACATTATCGGAAGGTATGAGACGTCTATGAAGAAATATGCTAAGATACTAACGCCTTCCTGTTGTCCTATGCTTAACCTCAAGAGAAAAACCCATAAGAATGTGCTCGAACACTTGGACAGCTAGAAACGTTACGTGCCGCCAACAGAATCGTTGTTCAGCACCACAACGCTGTTTAATCATGACCTACCGAAAATAATAACTTTGAACTCATGATATCGAAAAATCAGAACTTGAAAGTTTCTTATGTCAAGTGCAAATTATAACCACAGAATAAAGTGGGCGAAATGCGTGAAAAAAGAGTTTTGGAAACAAGATGGTATATGGGTTCGCCCCCTCCCCTCCCCTCCCTCAATAAAACGCAGTTTCATCTCCGGTTAGCAACATTTACCTCAGGCAAACCTATGTGAAAAAAATTGGTGGGGGGGGGGGGGCACTTAAATGCCCAAAAAACAGGCCAGCGACTGCTGTGCCTCCGCGCCGCCGTCCGACGCCCCACCTCCGGAAGCAGACCGAAACACTGCACCGATGGAATACGCCCGCTGGTGCTGGCGCCAGTAGCGGAGGATAGAAGTTGAGCTTCGTTGAGCACCGCTAGATGATCGGGCTACGAAGGATGTGTGAAGCATCGCAATGGTGATCAAGCTACACCCTGCAGCTGTAAGTTTATGTAACATGTATTTTACAGCATGTGCAGCGTGCATATTTGTAGAGCATATGGGTAACTACCTTTTTCAGCATCTACGCGCACGTAGCAAACATTCCTTGATAAACTAAATAACGTTTCTAAATGCCTCATAGTTTCCTTGCTATGGGATCGGATACGGCTAAGCCAAGAGCATTTGTTCTTTGACCGCGGGCAGCGGCGTAGGCACGGGCACAGGAGGCACGTACCCAGTCACCCCCGGCCAACAGGGCTTGGCACTCAAATTTCAGTCAGAGGGTCTTTTACGCCCATCGGGGCTCCTGAGACGAGAAGGGCCTCAATGTCGTCCAGTCACCACCAGTAACGCACGGTCGGGTCCGTGTTTGTATCGGCCATATGGTCTGCCGCCCAAGCAGGGACAAGGCTGGGGTCAGCGATGTACATGTATCGGGCGATTGTGTCTGTCAGGTGCCCACAGTGCCTAATAGGGGGCCCTGCTGCTGGCAGGGGCTCCGAGTTTACCAGAGACAGTGTTTGATTAGGCCCGAGGAGATAACTGAGGGCACCCCAGGATTGACAATCAAGGTTAGATTGGTGGATATAAAAGCCCCGAAGAACTGGCCGTAGGTCACATTAAAGACCTCGACCGATACGACCTGGCCTTTAAATGTCATTCAGGGGGCCTAATGCATCGAATGGGTGCACCCGAATACAACGCGGGTCAAAATCAAGGCGTAGCGCTCAAAGATGAGCCTGTGACGTATATCCACCATACAATTTTTTATAGTGTCCTCGGAACATATAAACACCTACAGATACACGCGACTATACATTCTTTGTTTACTTATCCAGTTCTGCCGTAGACACATGCTTGGTCTCCCTGTTCTAAAGGTATAAAACATCCACCAAAATTGTTATACTTTTCTGAAAAACGGACGTGGCTTAGAGATGGGCGTGTTACTTTTATCTCCTTACTCACACGTATTGCGCGTGCCACATGGCACGATGCACTTTTTCCGAAACGTTGGCTCCTGCCGAAATTACAGATTGGTAAAGATGGGATGAACAATACGGATAAAAATATTTTGTGTTGATAAATATGCAAAAGCAAAATTATATCCAACGGACACGCTTTGGCCATGCACGCCAATTCGGTCTTAAAAGAAGCAATGCTCTTAGACACGATCAATTTTGTTGGATAATGTGACTGTGCCAGCCCCGGGCAGGTCTACTCATTTGGGGAGTGCCAAAACCACTCCCGAATCGAGCTGGGTCAGCGATGTACATGTATAAGTCAAAGATTTGACGCATACAATCCAAGTTGCACCCAACTGAACTGGTGTGAAGATGGTTAGGGGATGAACTGTCCGTCCCAGGTCGAGTCGGCAACAACTTCACAGGGTGGGAGACGTTTTTGGCTGCCACGAGCCTGACTAGATTAATGTAAGTGGAACAGCCCTATCTTTTTCTTAAAGGGAGAGCGTTTTGTTTGGGGTTGTTGCCGCACGTAGCAAAAGTCGCATAATCCGATATGTTCGTAAGTCAAATGCGTCCTTAAAGTTTCAGGCCGGAGGCATGGTACATTTAATTCTCCGCAGAGATATGACGCCCATATCAATTTGGTATGGCTTGTGTCACTTCCAGGACGCAACGCGCATTTTAGCAAATCTGAACTCTTTCCTTATAGTCAACTTTCGGCTACATTCGGCTACCACCGCAAACATCTCACTTTGTGCAACATGTAAAGTCAGTTGGGTCGTCAAAAATTATCATAAGAGTTCTCATAAAATTCACAGCCCGCTCTTTGAACCGTCAACACCCGCTCGGGTGTTGACCCCCTCGGGGTCAACACCTCAGCTCAATTGACCCCCCGCCCGAATATTTTTCAGAATGATTTACGAACGCGCAGCGTAGCCACGCCCAACTTTGCACAGCTGTAGGCAAGTGAACAGCAAACTCTTTGGCATAAAGCGGTTATATTTATTTTGTGAAGTCGCTGACCTGTAATAGGTCAAAGTCGGGCCCTCGCTATCAGCGAAGACCATTTCTAAGGAATTTCAATATGATGCGACAACGGAGTGTCACACGCGCCCGAGTGGCCGGTTCGATACCCTTCGCGTCATTTCATTTCATTTCATTTCATCGCTTAATCAGTCAGTTTGATCGCCTGAAACCTCAGGAACTAAGAGAGCTAGAGACACCAAATTCCCACGGTGTATCGACCCGTACATGAGCTCACTTCAGTAAATAATTAAAGTAGAAATACATAAATTAAGTCATATTCCGGGCTGGTCTCCAAACCTAGAACCCTAGAACCTAGAAAACTGTTCTAAGCAAAAGGTCACATGCTCATTTAAGGTCGGTTACTTTGCGTGACCTTTTGAAGGCCACCGTGACCAATATCATACAAGGCTGCTTTGAGTTCTGCATTTGAATAAACGACAAAGGAAACGCATGACGGCATATTCCCACAAACAAAATGTTGACCTGGGTAACTTTAGGTCAGTGACCTATTCTGATCTTAAAAAAGTGCATAGAAGATATGTAATTCGGTACCTGTTATCAACGCATTTGAAATGACCACCAGAAACTACCCCATACAGCAAGTCCTAGAGTAATAAAACAGGTTGGGTTTGACCCTGGTCTGACCTATGTACCTGACTCTAGATCATTGTAAATTGTGAATTCAATTTGTGTTGCCTAAAAAAGCATCTCAGAGGTGTATGGCTTCGTCTAACAATCAGTTGCTGTATCAAATTGAACGCCTCCCTAGAAATGGCCTTCGCTGAAACCATGGCCTGATTTTGACCTGCCATAGCTCAGAGACCTTTCAAGGTACATCTCAGTTGTGATGCCAGACGATCCACTTTTTAATTGCCAACAGCTATGCAAAATTTGGCGCGGGTACGCCGCGCTGTTAAGAAACCATTCCGGAAAATTTACGGGGATCAATTTGACCCTCACCCGAGCGTGTGTTAAAGGAAGCCATGCATATCTAAGATAGGCAATGCACTAATAAATTATCTATCTAGGTAGTGTTTTAGTTTCTTAGGCAAAACAATGAATAAATTAAGAAACACAACAAATTCCATCAACCTCAGGTCGGGTGCGAAGGTCAGACCAAGGTCAAAGCTAACCTGCTGTTTTACTCGAGAACTTGCATTACAGAGCAGTTCTTAGTGCTCATTTCATATTTTTTAATGACGGGGACCGCGACGTGCATGCTCTTTGGACTTCTTAAGATCACGTTAGGCCATTGACATCAAATGAATCAGGCCTACATTTTGTTCTTAGGAACATACCGCCTAGCATGTTCCCTGAGCTCATTTGAATGTAAAAACAACAGCAATTTCGTATTTTTCTGGTCACCTTGACCTTTTAACGATCAAAAAGTTCACTGACCTTAAATAAACGTCACTGACCTTTTGCTTAGAGTTGGTGATAGGTTCACGGCCGTTGTGTGAGGAGAGCTGGGGTGCTTTGGGCACCAATCAGTAGTTTGAACTTGTATGATCTTATTTGACCAAAGCTCATGACTTAGGAGCCTCAAATTTAAACACAGGTGAGTTTATATACAGACCAACGCACCCTGTAACCTTGGTGTATCTCGCTATCTGGGTTTGCGAAATCTCAAAGGGTCAAACTGACCCCGCCCCTTCCCCCACCAGAGCGAAGAGTATTCGACCGACCACCTGGGCGCGTGCTTACTGACGCAAACGCTAGCAACCTGAAAAGGTCTCGTGTCAACACTCTGCAAAAAATGAATGCGCTCCACGTGCCCACGTCCTGTGTGTAGCGGTTTGGGGCTACGGCTGACAGTTTCCTGTATGAAATGACCAAAAATGACAGTTTGAAAGCTAAACATATAAAATCTAGACTGTTTTCAGCGACGTTCACAAAGTACCGTGCGGAAGCTGGTCAAAGCCGCAAACATCAATTTGGATTTCAATCTTTATTTTCGACTAACTTCACGACGTACGTA